TGGGCCTCTGGCTCTGGACCCAGATGGCCTCGGTCCTGCTGGGCCTCCGGCTCTGGCTCAGGGCGGCCTCGGTCCTGCTGGGCCTCTGGCTCTGGACCCAGATGGCCTCGGTCCTGCTGGGCCTCCAGCTCTGGATCTGGTTGGCCTCGGTCCTGCTGGGCCTCTGGCTCTGGATCTGGTCGGCCTCGGTCCTGCTGGGCCTCTGGCTCTGGCTCAGGGCGGCCTCGGTCCTGCTGGGCCTCTGGCTCTGGACCTGGATGGTCTCAGGCTCGCTGGGCCTCTGGCTGTGGCCTGGGGTGGACTTGGTTTTTCTGGGGCTGTGGCTCAGGCTTAGCTCTTCCCTCTTGTCCCTGGAGTCTGAGGACTGTGTCCTTAGTGGTGAGGAGTCAGAGAATGTTACAACAGTGGTCGAAGTGCTCCCGTATTCCTGGCAGACAGTGGACGTCTCCGTTTCTGAGGTGGACGTGGTCCTGACTGGAAAGGATATGTCAAGCGTAGCTGTCAGGCCGCCTTCCCCAGACAGTGGCAAGAAAGGGAGACTTCTAGGCCTCACCCTTGCCTATGTTCCAGAGCCCTTGCATGGCCAAGGGGAAGGCCCGCCAGCTCACGGCAGCCCAGCCTTCCTGGCACCCTGAGCCCTGCAGGCGGGTCAGGGCCGAAAGATTAGGGGGAGATACGAAGGACCTCACTCGCCCAGCGCTGGCCTCCACTCTGCCGCCTGCCTCTTGCCCTGTGTGTTCCAGCCACAACCAACAGCCTGCAGGGCCCTGGCCCCCTGCCTGCAGCAGTTCCCCCTGCTCTACCCTGTTCACACTTGGCTACCCCTCTTCCCCTGGGTCCTGGAAGCCCTTCCTGACCCCCCAAAGGGAGCTAAGTGCACCCAGAGCCCTCGGGACTCCCCTCCATGGTATGGCTGCACTGTGCTGGTTATCTGTTTACCTGTGGGCCTTCTTCCCTTCAGGACCAAGAGCTCCCTGGGGCAACGACTGTGCCATACATGCCTGTAACCAGTGTCCAGCACAGGCCTGGCCCTAGGATGCTCAACGTGTTTGCTGAATGGCAGGAAGGGGGCTGGCCGCTGCTACTCCCGTCCCTCCCTGGACTGCCCATGGCTGCCTCTGGGACCCAGGGCAGCATTCTTGGGTTTTTTACTTTTGTCCCCTCCACACTGGCACCTTTCAGAATTGAGGGTAAAAGGCCCCTGGACATGCACAGGCTTCGTGGGCTTATTTCAGGGAGAGGCCAAGGGGGCAGAGAGAAGAGAGACAGGCCTGAGCGGGGAATGAGGGTGGAGCAGGCAGCAGCTGTGAGGCGCCCCGCGGTGAGAGCCGGCCTCCCAGGCTGTGTGCTGGGCATCCCTGAGGGCTCCCTGTGCCCCCCCGCAAAGCTGGGATGAGTCCTCCCACTCCACACTCGCACAGCTGTGACAGCAGAGCCCAAATTCACACCCAGGCCTGGGAGCCCCTGACCCCTGACCTTTGCCCTCCCTGCTGCGTTGGCTCACTCAGGTCTGGCAGGAGCAGGGGGACTTACAGCCCAAGATGGAGCCTGAAGAGGTCTGGCTGATGTAGCCGTCGGTCAAGGACCTCTCCTTGCTGGGGGCCGGCTCCAGCTTCTGGGGCAAGAGACAGGCTGCATGATCACAGGCTGCACGGTCACAGTGGCCGCAGCTCTGTAAGTCCAGCCGCTTAGAGCTCCTCAAGGGTTGCAGGTTAGGGTTGGATGGGGACATGGAGAGGTTGACTGGACAGGAAGGGGCGTGGCCAGGTTAGACAGGTGTGGCCACGTGAGAAAAGCAGTGTCAAGAGGCTCTTGGGCCTCATCTCCCTATCTGCAAGATGCAAATTAGTTCAACTGTGGGACAGGCTTCTGTAAACTGTGAAGTGCTGTGTCCAGGGAATGGCTAGTGAGAAACTGAGGACCTTCTCCATGTTTCATGTCCCTGCACATCTGGGAGGGAACTCCCCTGCCATTACCATTTTCCGGACCAGGAAACGCCTAAGCAGCCTGCCCTGGGCACTCGGCTAAGACGCAGAGAAGCAGGGCTGGAATCCAAGTCAGGGGGACTCTGCGGCCAGGCTCTCAGCTGCCAGTCGCACTTGCAGGCCGCGGGAAATGTGCGGCAGTGAGATGCGGGAGCGGACGGGGCTGCGGAACACCCAGCAGGGACCCCACGATGACTTCAGGGCACACACAGACCCAAGTTCTGTAGTTTTGTATCCTAATGTGAGCTAGAAAAATGTAGAGCTTGCCTTTCCCGTTTCCGGCAAGGGATGCTGGCACTCCGGGTACCTGGATGGTTAAAGTCTCCCTTGAACACAGTTTACTTGCTGTCCATCAGCAGTCGAGTGGATAAATAAGTGGCGGGATATTCGCAGGACGGCACTGCCTCCAGCCGTGAGAAGGAGCAGTCAACTTGGCTGCATCTCACAAACTTGGACGCTCGGTGAAAGGAGCCAGAGGCAAAGGGGCCTGCGCCGCGTTTGTCCTCTGTTGCGGACAGGCATGCTCGTCTGCGGCGTTAGGAATCAGGACAGCCTTGTGGGGTGTGCGGGGCTGAGGGAGGGGCCTGGAAGGGGGCACGAGGGGCTTCTGGGGAACTGGGAATGTGTTCTTTCTTGATCTGGAGAATGGTGCCATGGGGGTGTTCAGTTTGTGAAAATCCATCAGACAGTTCGCTTATGAGTCATGTACTTTTCTATATGTTCTATTCAGTGAAAAGTTTTTAGAAATGAATTTAAGAGTTAAGAAAATTCTGGTACAAGTGGGCAGTGCACACAGCGGAATTTAGGAAGGTGAGTGTGGACAACGTGTGGGAAGCCTCTCTCTGTGAGGGGCCCACATCCTCACGCACCCTCTTTCAGGTGTACCCCTTACTGGTACCTTCTCTGTCTCACAGCGAGATGTATGTCCCCAGCCCAAGTCACACATCTGAGTGCTGGCAGAGCCAGGCCCAGAAGCCAGCCTCTAGCCGGCATGCACCCCTCAGCCCTGACCTGGGGTGCATTCCACCTTGGACCTCAAGGACCTCCGGCCCCGGCGTACAGCCCACTTACCTCCTTCTCCCCGGGGGCCTTGGCTTCTTCCTCTGGGCCTTCTGGCTGTGCCTGCAGGGACTGGTGAGTGGCCTCCAGCTCGTTGGAGGTCTCGAACAAAGGCTGCTCCAGCTTCCACGAAAGCTGCAGGGCCCGGGCCCTCTGGCGCTCTAGTTCCCGCTCCTTGAGCCGCCTGACAAGCCGTGACCCCAGAGCGCTGGGTAGGCCTCCCTGACTCACCCCACCATCCCCAGGACTGGATAGCGGCCTGAGAAGGCGATTAGGGCCAGAGGTGCCTTGAGCCCCAACCGTCCCCCAACTCTGGGCCCGCGGGCCCTCCTGGAGAAACTTACCCCACGATATCCTGAGGGGTGCCGGCCTGCAGGCTGTGCTCCACCACCCGCTCCAGCTGCAGCCTGGCCAGGTGGGCCACCTGGCTGTTAAGCAGCTCCTCCACTGACAGGCCGGGGAAGAGGTTGGCCATCAGTGGCAGCAGCTGTCAGGAAAGAGGGTGACCAGAGTCAGGTGTGGGCCAGGACAGGGGGCAGATGGTGTGGTGCTGCCCTGGCAGAGGAAGGGTTTACAGATTGTTGTTTTTTAAAGGGCTGGACCTTTTTGCCCCAGAACCATCAGGACATCTTGAGAAAGGAACTGTTCGGTGAGGGAGTGCTGGTGGTGAGCCTGACCCGTGGCTCTGGAGCCAGCCAGATAAGGGTGTGACCTCGGAGCTCCATGACCTGGGCCAAGGGAACTGACTTCTCTGAGCCTTACCCTCTTCCCTCTATGAATTGTGGGGTGATGATAATGTTACCTGTCCCGTAGGTACTGAAGAGGGTTAAATGGAGTGACGTAAGCTGAACTGGTTAGAACAGTGCCTGGCACATAGTAAATGCTCCAGCATTAGCAGCTCTTATTACTGCTACGAAACCAGGTTTCTTTTAGGGACAGGGAGTATCTTTAGGTGGCCAGAGGTACTAACTCTGGAGCCCACCCTCCTGGCCCAGCAGGCACACACCTTCGGTTGTTTGGGGTCAAGGAGCAGGACAGTGGCAACATCCTGGCGGGCCCCAAAAGTGTTCTGCGTGAGCTGCCGGCTCCTGGTGCGGTACAGGTAGTACTGGGGCTTCTGGGGGTTGTGCTGGATGGCCATTGAGAAGTGGTTCTCTGTCTTCTGGAACTGCCTGCAGGACACAGCAGGCCACAGGGTGCTCTGAGCTGGGCCACCTGGAGGATATGGAGGCTCCTGGACCCCAGTGGGGAGTTTGGGGAAAATCAGGCTGGTCTCTGCTCCCTGCCACCACGCCCCTCTTGATGGACCCAACACTTAAACATTAGTGTAAGATCCCAACATAAGTGGACATTTTTATGATCCT